AGTGTAAGAGAGAGGGGGTAACAATTGTTGAAACGCTAATCTTGGAGGTGGGGTAGAAATTTATCTGGGGAATACCAAGCAATATCGTTCAATCTTACCACTGTCTATTTTTCCATCTATCTATCTATCTATCTATCTATCTATCTATCTATTTCAATTTGTTCACATGTACCCATATCGGCCTGTTTATCTATCTATCTATCTATCTATCTATCTATCTATCTATCTATCTATCTATCTACACGGTTTCTTCATATCTATCACCATTCCTTTGATATAAAGAAATATGTACACAATTTATTATACTCATCACTCAGCGTCACATTTATTTGATATATATATATATATATATATATATATATATATATATATATATATATAATTTACAATTTAAAACTTTGATTGTGTCGACTGCACAATATAATTGGGTTAGTTGGGGGCCCTCTGTGAGAAAAAGATCATCATTCCGCCAGAAATTTGGAAACAGGATGCTGTACTGCTTGACATTCCCGCCGGAAGCTCCAAAACGTACATTGCAGAGGATTCGGAAAGAGTTGGATGAGTCTAATGGTGATTACGAAGGTGTCACTGTGATCGTCCTGATCAGAAAAGAACTCTCAAATATGTTGGTGCGGGCAGACTCAAGACGGAGGCCTAGATCAAGTGGCTGATGGAAGACCCTATGTCTGGTAACAGGTTACTGCACAATGCCATAAAAGCAGGAGAATCCAATCATAGCCATCAGACAATTTCTGCGACCACATCACCCCATACATTTGACCACCTAACTCCAAAGACTGCAAACCCCTTGATCATTATATGTGGGGCACAGTTGAGCTAGAGATCATAAAACTACTGCTAACATCAAAGATGTACTGAAAGCAAGGGTTAAAGAGGTATTCACCAACTTAAACAAGAAGAACATGCAGAAGAGTTGCAGGAGATTCTGAAGTCGTCGGGAGGCCGTGGTTGTATATATATATATGTTAACAAATATGTGGATATAGATCCGACAGTATGAAGTAAAATATGGAAAAAACAAAAATCCAAATATGCAAGTATGTTGACATTGAAACAACATTAAAACAGCATACTTGCATATTCGGATTTTTATTTTTCCATATTTTTCTTCATATATATATATATATATATATATATATATATATATATATATATATAATGGCTAAGTAGAGCGTGAGGAACGCACAAATATTTAAAAGTGCACAAATAGCCAAAATAAGCAATTTCTATGATCAAGGATTTCTTCAAACTGAAATTCGTGACAGCGTCGTTAGAAACTTTCCTCATATTTCATGTTAAAAAGTTAAAGTTTAAATTTATCGACTTGAACCTCTTACAAATTGAGCACGCAAACGATAAAAATCTTGCCCGGAGACTTTTACATGTAAATAACACGTAAGTGGACATCGATCGCAAGTAAACGAAGTTATCCAAACGTCTTCACGCGATGCCAAATATTTTCCGATTAGCTGGGAAGAAACTTTTCAGAGCCATATCTGCCGATCGAGTCAAACTGTTTGTAAGCAAAATGGTTTGTATCCGCCGACTTTAGAAAAGCACCCGCATTGTTGATAATTGAATTCCACACATATTCAGTGTTAACTCCTATCGAAAGAAAGAAAAAAAATGTTTTCTTTTCCATGTATCGACTGGTTTCTATCAGTCGATAAGAGTAATGGAGGTAATGGCTTCTTTTGTAACCTTTTCGCTTAGTATCCTAACAGACGACGGAAAGTGTGACGCAGACACTCCAAGGTGTCATAGAATGGCGAAAGATGCTTACGTGTAGCCAAACAAAATATTAAGAGAAAGGAAAATTTCCTCGCAGATGAAGAAGAAGTGAAAGAATAGTTCCAGCAAAAAAACAAACGCTTACATTTACGAGGCCGGAATGATTGATATAATTTTCTTTACTGCTCATCACCACTTTGTGGGATATTTAAAGTTGAAACATTTTGGAGTCTATGATGTTGGTTAAAACATGGAAAAACATATGAACACCTTCTTTGTGCCTTGACACTTCAGAGCTTTGGCGATTATGGCTCTTCACTATTTCCTGTTCTTTGTAGCTTTTAATAAATTGTCTGTTTGTTATCGTTCATAAAATCCTGTTTGCCATCCATTTACCCAAGCTCGCTATGTAGACTATTCTGTCACTCTTGCCTTCAATCTCACCTGTGAGCATCACGTTTTCCAAACCCTCTTTCCTCATTATGTGCCCTAAAACTGTTACTTTCTGAGGTTAAGTATAAATATCATTTTTCCATTTTCTCAAACCTTCCCATTGCTCACGTGTTCAGTTCATGGAATCCTTTGTATCCTTCTGAAGAACATCATTTCTGTTGCTTCAAGTCTCTTCTTCTTTTGAGGAGATTGCCCAGTATTCACTGCCATATAGGAGGACTGATAATCCCTAAGTTTTCAGTACTCATTTCTATGTTTATAACGAAGTTTTTCTGTTTCTTGTAGGGTGAACTACTGTATGGTAAAATGGGGTAAAGTGAGTTCTATAGCGATATATGTCACCAGTTTCGGTGACGACACGGCATCACTTTGCTTTTTCTAAGAGCAAGTGTCTTTTAATTTTCTGTTTTCCCAAAAACTTCATCGTTGCTCACATACTTTTAGACTAATGTTAGACCAATACCCACTCTAAATAAAGGGTTACTATGTCGTGTTGAATGGTAGTAAGAAAGGCAAGAGCTGATGTTCATGGGCTTATGCAGGAATGATGAGAGTTTATTCTAAAGGGGTCAAGATTGTAGTGATTGGGAAAAGTAAGTCTCTTCCACAAAGCAACAGTTCTTGATAAGAACAAATTACTCTTTATTAATGGAAGACAGATAGAATGAGCAGGATTCACTATTGATCACGTGGCATGGCGGGTTCCACTTGCAATGTTAAGGGTTAGTGGGACTAAATAATATAGCTACTCAGAACATACCATGGCAATAGCGAGAAAACAGCGAGAGACTTTTCACGTTTCGTCTGTGGGAAAGGGATTGTACAGTGGAAAATAATCAGAAGTCCGCATAGGGTTCCCTTTCATGGTGTTGTCATCCTACCGTATGCTAAACGAAATTTAGCCTCGAGTCCCTTTTCATTGCCTGTAAGGTAACTGTCCTGTAATCACTGCCGTATTTCATAGAAGCCCTGTACAATTCTTTGTTTCTAACGAAATTTTATTGTCAGGTCACGGTACAAATCCGACTGGTAACATGTTGCCAATGCTACCTGCCAAAGAGTTGGATGAGTCTAATGGTGATTACGAATGTACGGCATCTCGGATAACTCACTGTGATCGTCCTGATCAGAAAAGAACTCCCGAATATGTTGGTGCGTGCAGACTCAAGACGGAGGCCAACACCAAGTGGTTGCTGGAAGACCCTATGTCTGGTAACAGGTTACTGCACAATGCCATAAAAGCAGGAGACCCCACTGGCTAATTAGAAAATGCATATGTCGATGTTAATAAACTAGTTACGTTTAAAATTCCATGTGTTGAAGCTCTTTCATCGGTGGTTGAACAGGTTTTCATCGGTGGTTGAACAGGTTTTCATCGGTGGTTGAACAGGTTTTCCCATCAAGCTTTTCTGATGAAAAGTTTGCCTAGACAACCAGCACGACTACATATGTCCTATTCAAGGACGATTGAAACTTATTGTAGTGTGAACTACTATGAGGTAAAAAGGGATATAGTGGTGTCTATTGCTATATATGCCGCAATTTCGGTGACGACACGGTATCACTGGACGGAGTACTTCTTAAAGTCATCAGGTAATGGCGGGGGGGGGTTCCCTGGTGTAATCAAACGACCACGCGAGCGTTCAAGTTGGAGCATTTGCCGTTGTTTGACCTCGAGAAGGATGGACCATGCCATATCTACTTGTCCAATTCTCCGGCTTTCTACTCGGAGACGTCAAAGGAATTGGTCAGATTCTTAGTTACGCAGTCACCTTATGACCTCATCCAATCACGGGACTGATGATAATGATGATGATGATGCATTCGAACATCTGATAATAAATATTCAAACTCAAAAGATTTCTTGACACCACGTGATTACTTTTGTTATTTCGTATCTTTTACTGTTTTCTTTCTTAAGAAAATAAGAAAATGAATAAAAATAAAATGAAAATAAATATGTTCCTTCTCTTTCAGTTCCCTTACAACTCCAGTAAGAAGCTGAATTCTCCATGGAAAGTGTTAACACGAACTAGGTTCTTCTAAGATATAGTTTAGCAGACTATTATATTTTAGAGGTGGTGTATCGATGCTCTGACTTCCTGAGATTGACCTTCGAGGTCAGTAGGACGACAAAACAAGGGAGTTGATTTTGATTGGCTCTGCTAGCGTGAGAACGAAAGACAGGGGAAGGTTTTCAGGGAGATGTGTCTTAATCATCGAACAATGTAGACGCGTTTGCTTTCGTGTCTGGAACTGCTCCAGAGTGGAAGAAAAGAGCGACCCCACTGGCTAATTAGAAAATGTATATGTCGATGTTACGTTTAAAATTCCATGAGTTGACGTTCTTTTATCTCCGGACCCCAAACATTTTGCCACCCGGCCGGAAGAAAACAGGTGAAGAGAGAGAAAGAGAGAGAGAGAGAGAGAGAGAGAGAGAGAGAGAGAGAGTATAGCAGTTACTAGTTCCACTAATTCTAACCTTTATGCCACGCACATTGTCACGAACCACCATCATTCCTGTCGTATTCCGTTGGTGAGATGAAAGTTCCGCTCGAGCAGCTTCTAGACGTGAATACCAAGAGTATGCTTCCCCGATCACTACAATCTTAACCTGTCCAAGTCTCGGATACATTGTTGCCTTTCCTACTTATCCGCATAAACATTGTTTCTTAATCTGTAGCCCTCTACCTGGTATGACCCAGGGGCATTGTACAGGGTGAACATCACATTGGTTTAGATAGGGTTTCAGGTGGAATCTCACTTCTTACGTCGAAGTCGAAGAACTGTATCGAGCGGTCATGGGGTGGATGAGATGATGGGATAAATCTAGTTGTTCTTTTAGATCCCGCATTGACCACGTTACCTAAAATATCTGATCAAGATTTTGTTATTATGATGTGAAAATATGGTCTCCTAGCACTCATAATTTGAATCTCCTGAATGATTATAGCAGGCGTCACAGTGAGAGAGAGAGAGAGAGAGAGAGAGAGAGAGAGAGAGAGAGAGAGAGAGAGAGATATCAAGTAATACATAGAAGTCTTTGAAATTTTGCTATTTTGGAAAAGAAAGGAAATATGAAGTACAGCCTAATACCAAACATGCTGCTGCTTTCTACGCTACGGTGG